CTTGGCGATCATGAGTACTAGTCCCAGGAGTTCTTTGTGGAAATGGTCTGCATGTACAGTCCAAAGTGGCTTTAAATTCGTTGACCCTCTGTCGGTGCAAGCCGGCCCGCGCCAATGCAAAACCCTCCCTGAATTGATCCATGGAACCTACACCTCTTTGGAAGTGGTTCTGCTGAAGCCGAAGACACCCAGCCAGTCCAGCAAGAACATGAAGTTGGTGTCGCACCTCAGCCCCTTTCCAGTGACGCCCTTCTTGTCCACATCAAGGAAGCTGAAAGTGCATGGCATCTTAGCAGCAGAATTTTCAAATAGGTTCATTGGCCAGGTGACCCCTTTCGGAATACGCCCTCCCCCAAATTGGGAACAGCTGAAATTTGTTCAGCTCATGAAGTCCAGGTGGATTCCATCCCTTGACCAGGTGACCCCTTTTGGGAACAGCTGAAACAAATTTGTTCAGCTCGGAAGTCCAGGTGGATTCCATCCAGCTAGAAATTGGTGCAACCTGCCGGAAAACCAGATCCTCTTCCTAACCTGCCCCTAGTGAAGACCGGTGTCCCTTGCGCACTGCGCAGGTGAGCCGGGCTTCCTCGCAGTGGTGGGTGGTGGGACAGCAGTGGTGGGACGTCCAAACAAGCCCAAGATCCCACTTCAGCCCCTAGTAGCAATGCCAGGAGCCCCTAGTAGCGACCTTCAGCCCCTAGTAGCGATGACTGGAGCCCCTAGTAATGTCCTTCAGCCCCTAGTAGCGATGCCAGGAGCCCCTAGTAGCGTCCTTCAGCCCCTAGTAGCGATGCCAGGAGCCCCTAGCATGCATGCCTGGGACGTCCAAACAAGCCCAAGATCCCAAATAAGTTTGGGCCCAGTTGCACGATGTTTCTTCAAGTCACGCATCATTCGATAGTTCGGGATGTTGTTCTCTTTGCAAAGGCGCTCCACCCGAATCCATTTCCAGCCATCAGCAAGTCGATCTCTATAGAATTCCTGTGCATGTGTTGGGGGTATTGTGCCAGAAGGAACCCCAATAAAAAAGGTATCATGATTTCAAGCACCAAATTTTTTGAATATTTTTGAAGTGCCATAAAGGCCAATGAAACAGCGAGCCTGCAGCACATCCACCACTGCATCCCGCGGTCGGGAATCAGGCATGGCAGCAATCCAAAGGACACCAGCTAGTTGTAGGAAATTGCCATTGTGGGACATGGTACTTCACATTTTGGATGAAGGAACAACCCTCCAAGAGTTCTGAGGACGTCTGAGGAGGAGGGCATCCTACCCACCACAGCTGCGGGAACTCCAGCTGTAAGTGCACTAGGGCCAACTTGGGGCCAGCCAACTAGCTTAAATTGTCTCATGATCATGATTGTGAACCGCTCGCACGAGCCGTAGCCTGCGAACATACATCGTCCAATCCAACGTCCCTACAAGTCAAAGACCTCATTTTACTGGGGATGGTCACACAAAGCCAAATATTTTAAAGGAGGTTTTACTATTTTTACTGGGTCTTTGGACTTGTAGGGAACGTGTTGCACCCATGAATTGTCCCCAAATCCATGCCAAAGGCACCTTCTTCATCAGACGATACCTCCACTCTCTTCTCGTAGGCTCCTTGTTGCAGGGAAGTGCTGGCAATCCACCCCCAAAGCCCTCAAAAACTGTAGCTTTGTCACCAGATACTAGCCGAGAGTCTCTTCCGAAGAGCACGTTTCATCCATGTGCGAGGCCAAAACGACAGGGCATCGAAGGGCGGGGATGTGGTGCTATGATGTCATTACATTCATGGAATCTAGCCATGTGATCAGTGATCTATCCATGTTTATCAATGGATCCTTCTATCCATGCATGTCTTTCATGTGTCGGACATGCATGATGCCGACCAGCTGCATTTTTGCAGCTTGAACATGCCCTGACCACCTGCAAAACGTATGAACACTCATGCAAATCCTGTGCTAGCATGTTAATGGAGTCGTGATTAGACAAAGTAAAGTACGTTCTTTCGAAAAGTAAAAGTAGGCCTTTAGTTAAAGACCAGTTTAACGAGTACTTTGGTTCATAGGGATACGTTATATTATATATATATGTAACTTAATAATAACTTAACATTACTATAACATGTTATCAAATAGTTACACGTGCCCACTTATAGTGACCAGGGTACTGTACGCATCGTGACAAAACCGAGTCGCTCCAAAACCGCGACCCTATGACTTCATTAACTATCCCTAGCGCTCCAACCACATCCTCAGGTCGTTAGACCCCTCACACCCACCCCAACCACCTTCTCAGGAGGTGGGCCAGGAGCCCTAGGGTATGTAAACGACGCATCGGGAAAAAATAACATCTTCACAGCGTCGCCCGCTCCGCACGTCACCCAAGATTCCGTTGCAGTTCTTGCTCCACGGCCTCCTCCAAGCGCACGGCCCCGTCGCTTAGCGACGGCGTCTGCAAAATCCTGAGAACGGGCACCGAACAGGGTGGCGGATGTTGCGGGCAGTACGGCGTGCCAATGACTGCCTGACAGTAAAAACTGGATGGCTAGGATATGCTGGGATCATGATTCGTCCAGGTCATCACTTGAATGTTTCAATGTTTTCTATCAGGGCGGGGCACGCGACAAATATTATATGCCAATCTATCTAACAATATCTAACAGATTTGGATCCCGCATCTGCCGAAAAACTTTCAGGCTTGAGGCAGGTGAATTCCATCAATGGTTCTCTGTTGGAACATGCTATAGGCAATGGGACATATATATAATGTATTGCGCTGGCGCTGGCATTAGCTGGTTGTCTGCTGTGCTCTTTCCTGATTCAGTACCGTTTGTTGCCAGACTTCCTCCATGCCACCTGCCACATGCGGACGGACGCAGCTCCGATGGCTGCGCATAGCCTCCGCTTCTCGTTCGGATGTCTCATGGAAATCGCTCGCTCCGAACCAACGCTTCGGACGGTCGCTGGGCCGAGGTGCTCTTGGAACGTGCTCTGTAACTCCTGTGTGCCTTCCTGCAACAGCTCCTTCACTCGCTCGCCAGAGGCTCGAATCCTCGGTCGGCCACTCCGGTCAGTGAAAAGGGCACCATCGAAGTCAGAACTCCAAGTCCCACCCAACGTCTTCAGAACTCCTTGGCACCCTCCCAAACAACCCTAAACCCATCTAAACAGTCCCAACATCTTCAGTCAGAACTCCTTGGGACCCTCCCAAACAACCCTAACCCTAAACCCGAAATCCGCCCAGCCGTCTTCCATGACCATTCTGTAGTGCAACATGGTCAGTAAAGCCAGTAAAGCCATGGTGGTTCGGGATGACCCGGCTATGAAATCACTTGGTGCCATGAAGCCTAGGGGGAGAAATTGTCCATGGTTCCAGGTCTGTGCTCCAAGACGCTTCGACGGCAACACCTGAGGGTTCCTCTTCAAATCTTTGAAGGCCTGGCGCCGGAGCGATCACGGAGAGGTGATCCGGGATCAGGACCAGGCCGAGTGCGGCCGAGACGCTGGGATTGAGGAAGGACCCCTCGTGAAACATCACCGGATTCAAGTACTTCCTTTCAAGGTGTAGACGGACCCTCCCGCCTTCATAAAGGTGTCGAAGACACTACCCTCTCAAACTGGAACCTGACTGGACCTCCGTTTAAGCTACTAGGAACAAGGGGCTTTGCCACTAGGAGCAAGACGCTACTATATAGTAGCTCCTGGCATGGCTACTAGCAACAAGAAGCTCAGGTATTGCTCCCTGTTGCGTCACTAATTTATAGCCAAATGAGATGCTCCTCAACTGAAAAGGCCACATGTTGAAGCGTTGAGCCTCCAAAACAAAGGTCACAACACGGCCTCCGCTGCGACACCTCGCTCATGATTACCAGCAGTTCCCACTACCCTAGAAGTCTGTCCGATGATTGGAAACATGGCCTGGGGCTTGGTTACCCTCAAAGGTGCCAAAGATAGGCGAACTGGACTTCTAGATTCTAGGGCTTCTGTATCTGTATCTTCATGTTGCTTGACCAACTGAGGGTCATATTTGTGACTACCTCCTTTTCCAAAAAGACATCAAATCTCAGCCTTTCCACAAACGCACACACACACACAAGCCGCAGAACGCGTCACCTGTTCACAGGTCTCGCAGAACGACGCTACTGCGCGCGCCACCTGAGGGTTCTGCTGTGCCCACTCCTCAGTCATCTTTCTCACCTCTTCACCTCGTTCGTTCCCGGTCGAGAGACGTTGTTCGCCGGACGTTCGCTGCAGCTCGTCCGCAGCGAGCTGCAACGTGACGTCCCCATGGCTCGAGTCAGCATGGGAGTCACAGGCAAACCACTATATAAGGAACCAGGGGTTCTAGGTCTATGGTTTTTGGTCTTTGAAACCACATTGGGGTGGTGTTGGGGGTCAATTGATCGGCATATATGGCATACATGGAGTGACTGGGTATGGCTTGGAGCGACAGGGTCCAAGTCTTTGTGTTGCTTCGACATGGCGTCCGGGACAGGTGAGGACTTCCATAGATGTTTGTTCCAGGGAGCAGTGAGGACTTTTGAGGTATGGGCAATTAAAGTAGGGAGACCTCCCAAAGACGCCCTGGAAGAGAGGAAATAGACACCAAACCCATTGGTTGCGGGTCTTCCTAGTATATAAAATACAGGCGAGTATGTTTCTTCCTATTCTTTTGCGGTTCCTCAGGAGAGGAAAGCACCACAAGCCTGTTCGAGACTTGGCGTGGCATGACTCCAAACGAGCATACAGTTCCGGCCATCTTCTAGATATGCCGAGAACACAGGATCGAACCTGTGGACCATAACAACAAAGACACGAAAAACGGCTTGATGGATCTTGTTTTGATTTTAAATATATATGCAATGTTCACATTGCAAAATATGCCGATGGGCAAAGGTGTTTTGGAGATTTGAGCCAAAGAACAGGTATATATTGAAGCATGAAAGCATTCGGTCATGCCTAAGAGAGGTTAAACAAAACGTTAAGTTGCCCTGGAATGTAACTTAGACGCTCAATCATTGGAAACAAACTATTGCACAATACTACTACCCCATCCACCCATACCCCACCCCCCTCTGTGACTCCCTATGCCCTACGGATGTCCCAGGCACGCATGGTGCGGACCTGCAACTGCAACCGAAAGGACTGGAGGGAGCCCAACATGCTACCTGGGCGCAGGAGAGCCCGGCGGGCTGCTGAGCCGAGCTAACCCAACGACAGCAAACCGGGGGATGGACTTCCTCAAGTACGGCTCAAGAATGCACAATGACTAGCTTATAGCCCGACAAACGTTTTTTTCTATGCAATGGGGTGGTTTCTTGATTTTCTTGTCCCACTGAGTGGAGTAATTGCATTCACATCATTCACCACTCCTATCTGGTCATATCCTCCAGTGTTCGGCACCGGATGGAACTCCAAGCCACCGACCCAGCCCATTCTCTCGAGGTGAGGAGCTCTCAGAACTTCCTGCGACCAACCACGCAAGCTGAAATGCCCTGCAGCGAATTCCTGACCGAACGTCAACCTCCAGCTCAAACCCTAGGCCTCCAGTCGTACCGAACCTGACTCACGAGGTCCCGTTGCAACTCTTCTCACTCCCGGACTCCCGGTTTCCATCTCACTTCGGTCTGCGCCAACCGCTAGAAAACGCCAGGAGGGAGACCCCTTCCAACTGCCAAGAGAGGTTGAAGAACCCCAGTTCGACTATCCCAGTTGGCTACCCCAATGAGGTCCTTAACCGCTCTTGGTTGCCCAAACCCATGTGTTCTTTTCCTCGCGGGTTTTTTTCATCCATCGAGTCTGTCCTGCCCCAAAACCATCCAAAACCTTCCGGTCCAACACGAGACCATCGAGTCTGTCCTGCCCCAACACCATCCAAGGTCCAACACGCGACCAACACGCGCGGGTGTTCCAATCCGTCGCCGCCAAGTGACACAGGTCCCAAAAGCCGGGTGCCCGCAGCACGCTCGCCAAGCGCAAACGGTTCGCCAGCGCGCCGAGCTCGGCCGTGGCCCCTGGGCGGTTCTCCTGTTCGCCTGGCGCGGCGAGAGGCCGCTTGAGGCGACGGTCCATCGCCAGTGGTGTTTGGAGTGGAAAACAGAAATGAATCACGGAAGTGGACAACCTCCCCCTGAAATAGTCAATGGAAATTGAAAACCGCCCATGAAATACGATGACTCGATGACATCATCTTGAATCGAAGTGGAAAAAAGGACCTGCTATAGACGACTTGGCTTTCGATGCACTAACCCAAACACGACGGAATGGGACGAGCGAAGACATGCTGCATCTCGAAACAAAACACATCCACCATTTACTGACCAAAGGAACAACGAATGGGTCGTGCCTGGATAGTTGATTCCGGTCGACCTTCATGGGTACAGGCTAAACCATCTTAGGTCTGCCGTAGACGGGGTACTCTTGAAGTTCTGGGACTTGCTGGGATGTGCCAGTGGACTCAACAGGGAAACACT